ATTGCCAAAGCCATTCAGTGTTTGACATAGTACCTAAAGGCGCTTCTTTTCATTCAGGAAAATTTCAATCTGCCCTTAGCTCAAAAAAATAAAAAAAAAAGCACAAAAAAACTTTACCACCACGAAGGTATCAAAATGCTGTGTGGCAGGAAGAGCCAGGGTACTCGGCATTCTTCTGACAAAGCTCATGCACCCAATGATGGTCACATCTACAGGGCAAATGAAGTCTACCGCTGGCACTACTGATTCAACAACACGCACTAGAGTCAAGTGTTTTCCGTCAAGTACCTGCTGGTGAACACACGACGAACTGTAAACACCTCACATTTTCACAAGCTTGGTTAACTTGTCCAACTAAGCATTTTCCTGATACACACAAATTTTTACCACCATTGGCTGTAACACATCCTAGCAGATTCCACTTCAGGTTGTACTGAATCAGTACTTTCTCAATTCCTTTGAAAATATTCTCGCCTACAGCTGTTCATGTAGACTGTTCACAGAGGCTCATTCTTCAGTCACTTCAAACTCACTGAACACACAACTGAGCAGCATCAGAGCCCTCGAGAGCCAGGAAACCACTCCAATCACCTGCCTTGTTGTTTAACTGACTCTGGACGTTGCTTCTAACAGACTCACCACCACACAACTGTTCTCACTGAGCCTCCTGGTCTCAACCAGGTGCATTTTCTTTGAACATATTTCTTTAGTTGCTGTAATCCACCAAGATTTAATTAACTTATCACTAGTAAATGACTGTCCTAGTTAGGTGAACAGATGAGCCAATCAGAAACTTACTTTGCTTGCAGCTTATATTCGTTTTTTATTTTTTTATTTTTATTTATTTTTATTTTTAAAGATTTATTTATTTATTTTCCCCCCAAAGCCCCAGTAGATAGTTGTATGTCATAGTTGCACAGCCTTCTAGTTGCCGTATGTGGGACGCGGCCTCAGCGTGGCCGGAGAAGCGGTGCGTCGGTGTGTGCCCGGGATCCGAACCCGGGCCGCCAGCATCAGAGAGCACGCACTTAACCGCTAAGCCACAGGGCCAGCCCCGCGTTTTTTATTTTTGTGAAGAAATTTTGCTGTGATGAAATATTCAATTTCAAATTTTCAATTCTTTCTAAATGTTGCTTTCCTTTGAGTTGGGCATATTGTGTGTTTAGTCTGGTAATGCCAACACATATTATATTCTTTTATTTTAGCATAGCTATGGTGTCACTGCATGATAAACATGATGCTTTGCCAACTAATAGTGACCCTTCAATGAGAGCAATCCACACTTTACTGTGGCTTAAAAGGGCAACATTTGAAGTCTGTGTTTCTTTCTTCCTTATCTTGACAAGACAGGTATGTACTGGTAATAAAAAAAGCCCCGACACAGTGATATGCACGGCTCTGGAAGTTATAACTGCCAAGTTACTACTGTCACTGAGATCTGTGGTGTGCTGAGCAGCAGTGTGAAGCAACCAGAGTCCCCATGCAGTCTGTCGCAACGCTCGACTCTGCCACTGTAGTGTGAAAACAAAAGAGTGCGTGCCTCACTCCAATAAAACTATTTATGGATGATGAAATCTCAATTCATATAATTTTCACGTCACAAAATACTATTTTTCTTTTTATTTTCTTTCAACTACTTAAAAATGTACAAAACACTCTTGGCTCACGAGCCACACAGACAGGCAGTGGGCCAGATCTGGACTGTGGCTGTTGTCTGCCGACTCCTGCTCTAGCCAGTGCAAAGAGGCAAGAGAAAGAAATGAAAATGCGGATGCCTTGGCCCAGCGATTCTACTTCCAGAGTAAAGACAAGAGATGCATTCTCCCACATCCACAGAAGCATGTAGAAGGATACTCACTGCACCCCCTCCCCTTTTGTTAATGCCAAGATGAGAAACGTCTTAAGTATCCAGCAGGAGAGGGCGAGTGAACGAGCAGAATGAATTCCACGCAGCCATCACTAGGGCTGGAGCACAGCGTGATGCACCGACGAGCATCTCCACGTCACACCGGTGAGAGAGGCAAGCGTGACAGTGCGAAGGAAAAAAAGAGAGGTGGTGGCATAATACTGCAAAATAGATACTTTGATAAATTTTATAGATAAAGATGTTGCCTCTGGGGAGACAAGTTTTCAAAAATTATGACAACAAAAAGAAACAACAAACAACTGGAAAACTAATTTTTCACCAAAAAGGTCTCATCTATAAGGGAAGAGAAAAACAGTCAGCCAGTAACCTGCTGGATCCAGAGAGACACTGATTTTTCTTTTCCAAATTACTTGAGAGGACGGAAGTGGGGTCAGGAAGGAGGGGTCGTGGTCATCCTCTAGGAAACACGCCCGCACCCCCAGGTTGCGGCTGGCTCACCACACATATCATGGTGGAACGTGCTCTCGGTTATTTGAAGGACCAGGTAGAGGCCCCCGTTCTGAGAAATAAGCTTTACAACATTATCACAACAAGGAAAACCAAAGAAACTGCATCAAGAACACAGTCATGCTGTTAAGGATTTCAAACTTACAATGACCTTGTAAAGAGCAACAAACGACTGAAAGTCTGAGAAACAGAAACGAAGTGTTTGCCTCGACAGAAAAGATGCCAGCCTACGGGCAGAGCTCGGCTGCCTTGGGGTGAGAGTGTGAACCTGGAGATCTCCCCATTTCTTCCACGTTAGGTTGGAGCCAACGGACACCACGCTGGCTTGTCGTCAAGGTGAACTGACAACATGTGCTCTCCTGCTGCACAGGACACCCAACTTGTCCAGGAGGATCTTCACACGGGCACCACCTTCTTCATAAACCAGAGCTCCACTAAAAATGTGTCAGGGAGCACCTGCATGCTGACTGTTGGCCTTGAGACACCTCTGCACCCGAGGGAAACCTGGGCTCTGCGGGGAAGTGGCCAGTGCTGCATGGGGGCCGGGTCGACAAGACGAGCCCAGACCCCGCCCGAACTGGAAAGCAAGGCCACCTCAGACTCCCTGGGTTATGTCAGAAAGACCTGGGAGACCACGTGACAAGTGCCCGCTGGCCACAGATGGGAGAGGACTTGAGTTTCTGAAAGGACAGTAATTGCAATAAACTGCGATCATGTAAATGTTTAAACCCGCCTAACTGACTAAGGCTGGAGCAGCTAATAAACCAGTTCGTTATTTTTTAAACAAAGAAAGAAAAGACTTATGCACTTGTTCTGCTTTTCTATACAAACTGGACCTCAGGGAAACCAAGCAGCGACGTATGTCTTTGTGGAAGAATTCCACCTTAAATAAATGGAGCAGGACCAAGAGAGTGGTAACAACAGGCTTGCTGCCTGTGACGGACTTATGCATCTAAGCTCTGGGGGTGAATGGCTACTGGGACAACACACAAGAGACCGGTCAATGGCACCGGTCCAAGTGGAAGAACCACCTAGAAGCGGGCTTGCTGAAGACACGAGTTGGAATCCGATCAGGCCTCTGGACCCACAGTTCACAGGAACAGGGAGTCCTCCGCAAGTCCAGACTTTCAGACAGGAGGGGCTGAGAAGGTGCAGAGCAGTCAGCCCAAGGGCAGACCTTACCTGGATCCCGACTAAAATCAACTAAAACAAAGAAAACCCCCAAGACGTGGTGTTCACTGGACGGCTAGAAATGTCGGCACTGACTGGATATTTGACACTAGGTACTACGCCTATTTTTCTTAGATTTATAAAGGTGTTGTGGTCCTGTGTTTTAAGAAGAATCCTAATCTTTTGGGGATACAAATGGAAACATTTTCAGATGAAATAACAGGCAGGGGTTGGGGAGCCACAGCTGAAACAGGATGCATCATGAGTTGACAACTGCTGACACTGGGGAATAAATATATGGGACTCTTTACCCGATTCTGCCTACTTTTGTATGTTTAAAATATTCTATAATAATTTTTTAAGGTATTTTATTTTGATGCATTCTTTGTCTTTTCCCAGAACTAAAAAACTTTTAAGATATAAAAAGATGATTGTTTCTATCTACGTTTACTCAGGAAATTTAAATTCTTCTCGTATGAATGAATTCTGTGAACAGTGAAAGAAGACTTTACCAACATTATTCCCTCAGATATGTATTCAAGGCCAGATATATCTAATGATCTAATGTAGTAGGCTGTATTTTAAATTATAACCCTCTTCTGAAATATAATGATGAGGAAACACAGCCCAAACGAATTCTTAACATATCTTATCTTTGAAAGAAAGTGTACCTAAGTGGCAGGCACTGCCACGCCAGTCCACCCTCTGACAATGAACGGAACCCTGAGGCCGACGTCCCTCTGTCCCTCTCTCCTTATCACCACCCCCACAATCAAGGGCCGCGACGGTCTCAGTGTTCAGAATTGTGGAAGTTTTATTTATTTATTTTTTTTTTAAGATTTTATTTATTCATTTTTTCCCCCCAAAGCCCCAGTAGATAGTTGTATGTCATAG